GTTCACTCACAGAGATGAACCATCACTTGGGAAGAATATTGGGGAGGAGACTTTACCGCCGCCAGGGCCTATGACATTTTTGAGTAACTGATGAATTTCATTTCTCAGAGTTGAACACTTTATGGAATTTGTTGACTTAAAACTTGTGCTCACCTATGATAAGGGCATGAGAACAGGGATTTTGTATGCCCTGGGACTAACCAAGTTGTTAGGCAGTCAGTCATCTGATTTTTATGGACCTACCGTGTGCCAGGTTTTGTCTTCAGCAAAGAATAAAACCGACCAAATCTCTGATTCAATAAAATGTTAAAGATATTCTAGGGAAGATTGCTTAGTACTGTGGGGTGTATAAAAGGAAGTAGTAAATATTGCTTCAGGGGTGAGGGAAGGATGGCTTCAGAGAAGAAGTATTTTTGTTGTGTCTTGAGAATCAAGACAAAGTAAGAGGAGAGATAAGACATGGAGGCACATGGACATCATTTAATGTAGCAGAAATGTACTTATAAATGCAGGAGAGTGAGCTTGAGCCCCCTCCCCATACTCCACCAACTGGGTCACAATCACAGTAGTTGAGAAGAGACGTAAAACCCAAAGAGGAGGAGCCAGACATTTCCATTTGGATTGAGTCACTGACACAAAGTCATACGTGTTTAAATTAGTCTGGATTAGAAGTTACACGCCTGGCAAATGCTCTTGGTTTATTTACGTTTTTCAGACATTCTTGATCCTTTATCTAGAAATCCCGGGGTCTAGTTATTACTAGGGTGCCACACTTTGTTCTTGTCCTCAGATCAGGCGTAATGAGCATGGGCTTCCCACTGCACCGTTATGTATGGATGTGCAAATTACTCACACACCTGACTGTTCATCACATCACATGATGGGCCTTCCTAATGTGTTACTTTCAAGTTACAGTAACTCGACACCATATCAAGAGAGTCTGAGACCATTGGGGGATCCAACAGCGTTCTTCATTGCAGATGAGAATGTGTTTCTTGAAAATACTCAATGACTCAGAAGATTTTCTGGTTCAAAATGACCTTCCCTTATAATTTGTAAGGGAGTTTTTCTTGTTGTTGTTTTTTTTTTTGAGTTTTGTCAGAGGCAATGACAATCCTGTGCCTGAGACTCCCTATAAAAGGAAGTTCTGCTGATGTCCTCTAAAATCTAGTTTAAAATTTAAAACAAAAACATGTGCCCATAACCATCTGATGTATAAGGTTATGTTTAAGATATATGTAAGTGGTCCTTTGGGAAAGGATAATTGAATATTAGATTGCTGGGGGAAAAAAGAAAGAAAAATAAAAATGTTTCTGTAGGCTTGAATAGAAGGAAAGTAATTTTCAGACTCAGATTTGTACTGGAGAAAGTGACCCCAGTGTCTCTCTGGAAGAACAACTGTCACTTGACCTTTAAAAAGGTTGATTCTGGGGTACACAGAGAATGCATACCTTTCCACATATGGACCAGTTGAACAGAAAAGACCAGTATATCCAAAATGCCATTTGTGCCAAATCACTTTTTTATTTAGAATTTCCTGAACAGTTCAGACCCAAAATATCTGATGAGGACGAGCATGCCCCCATACAATTAACGTTCCCCTTGATAATCTGTTAGGAAATCATCACGTATTCAACTTGGTGATTTCCAGCTATTATAGTATTGCCCATATTGCTTTATTTTTCTAACGTTGCTTCTCTCTTAAGCTGATATGTTCAGATATATGTCTCATAAATTCTGTGTGGTGCAGATTTTTTTAATAGTTTAGAAGAATTAAATGTAATATTGCTTTGAGAATTTCAATGCATTTCTTTACACAATTGATACTGCCCTGGGTTAAGGAAAAGCCGGTCTGGAGTCCTGGTGTGATCCCCAGGCATCTGCTCCTGCTTTGGCCTATTTCTGCACAGCTTCAAGTGTGTACGCTCCTAGGCCTCTACAGAGATTTGGCCCCGTCAGCTGTGGACCAAAGGGCAGGATCCACTGCATTTGAGCTCCCTTATTCCATTATCTTTGCACACGCGGACTAAAGTTATTATATCGTGAGAGTTTGTGATTTAAACACAACAGACAAAACAAAAACAAAGAAAAATTTTAAAGGACCAGATTATCCCATGATTTCCTAAACAATTGTATGATTAAGTTTCTGTTCAGAAAGAGACTACAAGTATTTGAGCATATGGGATTGCATCTTAAGTAGATTCCTGTCAGGGATCCCAAACCAGATCTTGGAAACATCTGGAATTAGTGCTGTTCTGACAACATTGCTCAAAAAATGGACCAAAAGAATATATTATGATACATAATTTACGAAAACACGAAGCACCTAAATGTAAGCACTGGCTGACATGTTCAACATTCTCGACTGCTTACTGAACACATCTTCTGTGTCTGACCTTGTTCTAGACACTTCAGATTCACCTCTGAACAGAATATATGAAAACATTGGTCCTTCAAGAGCTTATTTTCTATCAGGAGATGACAGACTGAAGAGTAAATAACACTCTATGTTAGAAGATAAGTGCCATGGGAAAAATAAAGCAAGAAGTGGGGACAAGGAATGTCTGGTGGGGGTTACAGGAGGGAGAGGAGGAGACATTCAGACAGAAGGTGACATTTAAAGTAGGGAAGGAGTCAGCCAAGTGGAGATGGAGGGGATGAGCATTCCAGACAGAGGCAACAGTAGATGCAAAGGTCCTGAGGCAGAAGAGGCCTGAGCTGTTTCCAGGAAACAAGAAAACCAGTCTTGCTGGGTGCGATGGAAATTGAGTCAGAGAGACAGAGAGGATAGGGTGGATCCTGACGCTGCTTCAGGTTTTATTCTCAGTGAGACAGGGAGTGACTGGAGGGTTATGAGCAAAGAAGTTACATTATCTGACTTAAATTTTGACAAGATCACTCCAGCTTGTGTGGTGCATTTTTATTAGGGAATTAGTCAGAAGTTTCACAGTTAAAATGTTCTTGTTTTTACAAATGGCTTTTGTGCAACTTTTATAATTTACTTGTGAAAATGTTATATGCTTTCTAGGTGTTGAGTGCATATTTGCTTGCTTTTTTACTAAATGTAGCAAAAACCAATTGTAAATGTATACTTGTTTCTTCCCCTTTAATGCCATTCAGCTGTTACATAACTGGAAGTGTTCCTTTCCCTAATGGATATAATGTTAGAGCCCTTAATAATATTCTTCAGCTCTGTGGAGACCTACTCTCAATTTTCTTGCACTTAGTCCACGCTCAGTCCTGCCTCTGCTCCTCCACCCTTTCTGCTTATCCTGCTTGGAGCTCCATCCTCATCTCCTTCCTAATTTCCCTTCAAAGCCAGCCCAGTTGCCACAAAGCCTTCACCAATTGTTTCCATTGCTATTAAATCCTTTCCCCAAATCCTCAGAATCAGAATGTGCATCTATTTGTGTATGTGTTGTACTATGTTTTCAGATAGTTTCATGTGTTTGCTTTTTCTATCTAACCAGGGATCTCCTGGAAAACAGGGTCCGTGTCTCTATTTCCACAGGTGTTCAATAAGTACCTGGTGGTTGGTTGTTTGACCCTTCAACACATTTCTATCAATATATTCATCACAGCGAGACCAGGCCATTTGAGTCTGGTTTGTAATGAAGGAATGTCATTGGCAAGCCTGAGGGTGATGGTGGAGGAAGCCCACCTAGTTTTCACTTTGGATTCAGGGCAACAGTGTCGCTGTTCACTTTCCCAAGTGCTGAATAGCTTACATGCATAACAGTTCAAGACTTCCCTTGCTATCCCCTCCAATGAAACAGCAGTTAATTTATCTGTTGCTTCAACTGCTATAACTTCAATTTTTTATTTTGCCTCCTTGATTCTTTTTTGCACTGCATTTTTGTTGGTAGCATCCATCGCCAATAGGGAAAGCTCTCATGTTGAAAGGCATTTTTGATTACATATTTTAAAATATTACGTAGTCCACCACAATGAGATTAATTGGTTGATCATAGGAAATCATCAAATGCTTCATTTGGGAGTTCATATATGATCTTAATGATAGATTACTAAGCATGAAAGACACACATCCAAAGTAAAAAAATTAACATATTACGTTTTGATCATTTGTATGTAAGATCAAAGCATGCTAAGGAACAGAGAATACATTTTCCAATAGAGTCTTGGCCAGGCATATAGCAATTTGAATTTCAGTGAAAACACATACTTGCCATTTTGATAATGAACAATCTCAAATTGGTTTTTTAAATGGATTTACAAATGATTTTGTAAATGGATCAGTAATGGGGAAAATGATTAAAGATGAATTTGTCAAGGTTGTTTACATTTTCTGTTATCAGAAACAACCATTTGTTGTCATTGAGGTGTTTCACTTTCATTAAAAACAGTAGTGATTATAAATGAAAATAAAGGTACTATTGAATTGCACACTTTACATTCCTTTGTAGTGATGCAAGTTACTTTCTCTTCAACTCAGAAGAAATTTTGCAGTCTAGGCAAAGAATTAACTCCTGTGATAGCCACCTGGACCCAGAGATCATACTATAATTGAGCATAGCACTTGAATAGGGCTAAAATAACCAAATTTATCTTCTACCTCTCTATATATGCATTTTCTTTACCATTGAAATAGTAAGGGGAAGCAAGCAAGGCAGATGGAAGAAGCCATATTTAGATCCCAAATGTAATCTTAAATATACATATGTGGATCAATTTCTTGTTAAAGGGATACAACATTTGCTGATAATATAATTCAGCTTCTTAGTCCATTAACATTTAATGTTTGAATTTTGGTGAATAAATGTTGGGGAAAATTATTTTTAGATGTCAATGTTTCACTCCTAATAAAATCAGTGGGTGATTTGCATGTATTACTCAACAGAAGAAGTAATTCTGTTACTCTGTATTATCTCCTAAAAACCTAATGAAAGATTATTGGCTTTTTAAAAAATACTGTCATTAAATATAATCACAGCCATCTTTTTCCATATTACCTGACTAATAACCTTTGCTATATTCTTCAGGCATGAACTTCTTGAAGAAGCTCGGAGAAAGGGATTACCTTTTGCACAATGGGATGGGCCCACTGTGGTTGCATGGCTAGAGGTGAGATTATTAAACCAGAAGCCTGTTAAGTCAATCACTACTGCTTTAATAGGTTTTTCTAGAGAGAAGTAAAGACAACTTCCTGAAGTCATAGCTTTCCAATTGCCTGGAATAGCTTGCAAAGTGAATATTTGCTTTTATTAGGGACCTATGGATATTATGATTTTACTATGATGCTTTCTTGTGATTGTGGCAGAAGGAAGCATCCAGTGGGATAAAAAGAAGTTTCTCTAAATTCCACTCTCTTCATGTCTAGAATAAGAAAATAAATAATTATTGAACCACATTTCTATTTTTACAAGAAAACATCTGTCCCCATCCATCAGTGCAGGGTCCTTTCTCATCAGCAGGTTACAGAGAGCCATCTCCATAGTTAACACTGTTTTCCAAGATAGTACAGCCACCAAATTGCATAGAGAACCATTCCTTTGCTTGTAGTATAATTCCTGAACCTAATTCTCTAAAGACTACGGTGCAGGTAGGTTTAGACACTTAGAATAAAGCAGGAGAAGACTTATCCCCTTTTGCTCTTCTGTGTCTAAACTGAATGTTTTCATGAAACAAGAACTACTTTCAGCATTTCCTACATAACATAGAGGTCTGGAAAAATACAGTAATACCTGCTCAGAATGGAGGGCAGCAGGAACAGAGAGACAGTGAAAGAAGTACATATTTGACCACAAAGGGCCCCTTCATACCTCTTATCAGTAGTGTTCACTGCCCCTTCCATTCTTTTCTCTGATGTGGGCTGATAGCAGCTGCTAGGATATGCTGATGTCAGGGCAAAGAAGAATGTAGGCTTTCTTGCCTGGCAGAAGAAGTTAGAACCCGTTGTTTTAAATGGTTCGGGATTATAAAATCACCCACCTTCATTCTCATATCACATCCAGAGCTAACTAATTAGTGAATAAGGGAAAAGTAAAATCCATTTTATTTTATTTTTTTCAAACATTGGCCCCTGAGCTAGCAGCTGTTGCCAATCTTCTTTTTCTTCTTTTTTTCTTAAAGTTTGGCACCTGAACTAACAACTGCTGCCAATCTTTTTTTTCCTGCTTTTTCTCCCCAAATCCCTCCAGTACATAGTTGTATATTTTTAGTTGTGGGTCCCTCTTGTTGTGGCATGTAGTGAGTTCTCCTTCTTTGGAGGGCAAATGGAGAGAATATTCCTCTTTTAGTGTATGTAATTCAGGTGCTCCAACACAACGCATGTGCATTGGCATTCGCCCGGTGCTTGAGGTGTGTGCCAGACCCTGTGCTGTGCTCACTGCGCTGCTGATTTATTGCCTTTCCAGAGCCTCACAGCGAAGCTGAAGAGTCGGAATCCCTAATTTCTAATGCATTATTCATTTTGTTATTCTCTTTAGCTCAAGTTTTCCAGACGTTTATAACTTCAGTCTCTTCCATTAGCACATCATTTCATTCCCCCAAAACTGTGTTCATATATAGCATCTAATTAAGTTCACACAACTGTCACATAGCGTAGGTAGGTCGATTGGAAATGTGGCTTAGCTACACTACCACCTTTGATCAAAATCTCAAGGCTGCAGGTGGTAGAGCTGTCTCTTTCTGTGACGATTTCTCTGCACTCGGAATTCCAAAGGAAAATTAGAAATTGAAGTCACTAATTAAACAAATGTTGATTGAGCCTTTACCAAATGCAGCTCGTAGCTCTTCTCCTTGTTCTTAAACCCAAGCCGGAATTTGGTGCTGTGCAGCTATTATTTTTATCCCTAATATTATAAATTAGTTGTTAATTTCAGACTCTGGAGACTTGATTTCAAATCTTTATTTCCATCACCGCTTAGCTGGTATATTTGAATAAATTACTTAGTGTCCTTGTGCCTCTATCTCCTCTGGGGAAATAATAATAGCATTATCTCATAGGATTATGGCAATAAATGAGTTCACACACGTAAAGTACTTAGAATAATGCCTAGCACATAAAAGACGCTAAAATTTTAACTATTATTATAATCTGTGTGTGCATTTTTTCTTCCTATTGAACAGCTCTGGCTGGGGATGCCTGCTTGGTACGTGGCAGCTTGCCGAGCCAATGTGAAGAGTGGAGCCATCATGTCTGCTTTATCAGACACTGAGATTCAGAGAGAAATTGGAATCAGCAATCCTCTGCATCGCTTAAAGCTCCGATTAGCAATCCAGGAAATGGTTTCCCTGACAAGTCCTTCGGCTCCTCCGACATCCAGAACTGTGAGTCAGTTTACGCTCCTTCCTCCTCCCAGTGCTGGGCAAATAGCAGCATCTCTTAAGTCCACAGAGTGAAATTATGACAGCGCACATTTCAGTGTCAGCATGAATTATTCTAAAGAGATTTAGCTTGCTCTTCATTAACCTTGTTGCTGCTTTTAATAGGTTTTCAGTTGAGGAGCTGTGATTTCTCTCAGACTTGAAAGGCTGCAACCAAGATAGACTTTTGAGCTGGCATCTAGACTAAAGCTTTGATTTTTCTTCCAAGCAACAAGACCTCAAGTTTGCTCTTTTTCAGAATGTTCCTTTTTCTTCTTTTTAATGTAATCTACATCTCAGGAGATGAGCTGTAGGCATTAGTGCTTTCTGAAGATGCCATGCTTAACGCACTAGTTCTAAAACAGTTTTCATAATTATGAAAGTACACTGATATTTGATGTTTTATAAATGCCAAGTGAAGTCCTTCCTTCAAAATGTTTTCTCTCTCATTTATAAATCCCTATTCCTTGCATCATTTTATCCCTATTCTAATATTAGAAGGAACAAAATGTCTTTAAAAAGGCATGCCAGATGGCATATTCAAACACTAAGGAAAACTCCCAAATAATATTCATTCTTCCTTTTGTCCACTTACGAATTATATCTTTTGCTGATAAAGATATGATTTCTGATGTTAACTGTATTTCTCTGGTCCCATGTCTTATTCAGAATAATAAAATATGAAAGAATGGGGTAAATTTGAGTAGTGAGTTAAAGATAGAAAAGTGGTATTTATTGTAGTTTTAGGCACGAGATTAACTTGAGTATAACTTTTCATATATGGTCAAACAGTTTTAGAGAATTTACTTCATTTTTATTGTATCTGCCCTAATATTGCTTCCCTGCATACTAGATTCTAATGCCAAAAATACAAGGTGAAATTTAAAAAAATTTATCTTTCTTGTATAATTCCAGTTTGAATTCTTCCTAAATAACATGTAGGAAAAAAAATATATTTTAACAAACTCTTCCGTATACGATTTTAAATGTGTGTAAATGTTGTATACTATAGCTGAAGTATTACTGAAGCTGACAAATAATTCAGAATACGTTTAAAATAAAAACTGAACAGGGCATTAAGACACTTATTGTAAACGGAATTCAGATCTGATGATGAGTTGCCTGAATAATGTCCAGGTGAGAGAGAAGCATCATAACTGGTTCACATCAACACTCTCCTCCCAAGAGAAAATGCAAACAAAAATATTTAAAATTCCTAATCTTGCAAAATTAAGAGCATTTGAAGTCTCAACTTCAAATTGAAAAATAGAATAAACTTCATTATTTCTATTCAGTATCCTAATCCATTTCTTGATACAAAATAGAATAATTAAGAACTATTTTTCTAAAAATGTCTAAACCAATTGAAGGAACTAAATCATGCATTATTAAAGGTAAGAGCATTCTCGGTTGTTTAAAGAACAGATGTGAAGAGAGCCTCCGAGCTTCTCCATGATCTCGTCTCAGTTCCCCTCAAACCTTCATTCTTCGGGTCAGGATTCCAACAACATGGAAGCACTTTCAGTTTCCTAAACTTCTATCCTCTGGGTTGATTTTGAGCTGTTTTCCAGTTCCTCCTCCCTCTGCCTGGAACATCCTTCCACTCCAGGGCCTCCGTCCTTCCACAACTCATCCTTCATCTAACGATTCCTGACTGTCCTTCCTCTACAAAGCCCCAAAGTCTTGGTTTGCTTCCACTCTTGGTTACCAGTCTGTAGACTTATAAAAACCATTTTATAATTTTCTCTTCTTGATTTACCCTACACAAGGTCAAGCAAGGATATTATCAGGTTTTCCATAGTCCCCAGGCCTTAATTCAGCGCCTGGCAAATTATAGATAGTCAGTATTTGTCTTAAAAATGATGATTGTGGGCTGACCTAGTGGCGTAGTGGTTGGGTTCACGCTCTCCACTTCGGTGGTCCAGAGTTCATGGGTTTGGATCCCAGGTGCGGACTTGCAAACCACTCATCAAGCCATGCTGTGGTGGCATCCCACATGCAAAGTGGAGGAAGATTGGCACAGATGTTAGCTCAGGGATGATGTTCCTCACCAAAAAAAAAAAAAAGATGATTGTACAAGTCACTCTACCCACTGTGGTGGAGGATATGAAGTATGGATGCCCTGACTCAGAGAGAGCAGCTATAGTAAGAAAAGTAAGATGTGTTCACCAGTAGGTGTAGTAGGAGATGATATGGTTTAACTCCTAAATGTGAGGTGGAAGCAAAGTGCTGTGGAATTCCAAAGAAGGAGAACTCACTTCTGGTTGAATAAAGCTTCAAAGAAGAATTAATGTTTTGAAAGACAGGTAATATATTCTTAATTATTAAAAATTAATAATTTTTTTATTATTACCCTTTTGATAGAGACCTTTCCAGTCTACTTCCTTTATCTTCTTATAAAGATTATTTCACATAATATATTATTTTGCACTTTTCTTTTAAAATTTATTAATATAGCATGAACAGTTTTCTCATTTTAGTAAATATGCACTTGTAATATCAGTTTTAATTGCTGCATACTTCCTTCATGGAAATTCTATAGTTTATTTAACCAAATCTCTAATATTGGACATTTGCTTACTTAACAATTTTCATTTTATTTACAATACCATAGTGGATATATGTGTAGTTATATTGTTGCATAAACTGTGGTCATTTCCACAGAAATATTTGTGTATAGGGAATTTGTATTCTTATCACTTTTAAATTTTAATTGCCAAATTGTATTGTGTAGCCTTTTCCCCTCCCTGTTATTCACACTGATTATCACATTGCTTAAATTTACATTTTGAAGTTACTAGTAAAGTTAAATTTTTTTCATATGCTTATTGATTTAGTATTCAAATAAGTAGCTTAATCATAACATTTTCCATTTTTATATAGCATTATAGGAGTTTTCATCTTTTTACTAATGTATAAAATCTCTTTATTCACAGAGGATATAGGCCTTTTGCCAAATATAGATGCAATTACATAAGAGATAAGCTGTTTATTTGCTTTAAATATGATCGACTGAGTGCTTTTTCTTTTTGACTCCATCTACATGGAAGTATTAACCTATTTCTAATATATTTCAAACATGATTTGATTTGTAAAACAAAAATTACATGTAAATTTCTAGTAATGAATCCACTGCCTAAAATGCAGATTAAAACACCCTTGGGTCATCACCTGAAGTTATATATTAGGATTCACATTTTGAAAATGCAAAAGCAGAGTTTTTTGTTTTATTTTTTAGAGAAATGTTATCATGTCTCCTAGAACACTGCAATTAGTCCTGATGCTGCAAGTTTTTTTGTGTGTTGAGTTTGGGGTTTGGGTTCCTAAGCCAGATGTTTCTTGTTCATTCCCTCAAGTACTCAAGAGAAAAAGACAAGGTAATTAGGATTTGTTGTTGTTGTTTCTTTTTTTGAGGAAGATTAGCCCTGAGCTAACTACTGCCAATCCTCCTCTTTTTGCTGAGGAAGACTGGCCTTGAGCTAACATCCATGCCCGTCTTCCTCTACTTAGTATGTGCGATGCCTGCCACAACATGGCTTGCCAACCGGTGCCATGTCCGCACCCGGGATCCAAACCAGCGAACCCCGGGCCACCGAAGGGGATCGTGCATACCTAACTGCTGCACCACCGGGCCAGCTCCTGTTGTTGTTTTTTTCAGTTAACAGAACTTCTATCTGATTCTGCCTCCTTCCCCATGTAGATGAAATGGACTAGACTACCAAAAAGAAAATCTCCTGTTTATATTTATCACTTCCTTGGGCCAGCCCTAATCTTCGAGCTTTTTGTTTCTTCTTCCTAAGCTACTGTTACTATAGAAGGCCTCTTACCTAATAGATAGGGATGGAGGTATCAGTTAATTGAAATACTTGTTTAAAGTTGGATGCCGTAAAGACTAAGTACATTCTTTAAGTAAAAAATTAACATTCTTTATCTTAAGTGAAAATATGTAAATATCCAAGCACTTGCAAATTTAGATGAAACACCTAGGACTTTGAGTACAATTCCAGTGCCTGGAGTTTCACATTATCTTTCTTTGATGACCTCATCCATGAAACTTCTTCAATTTTTCTAGTTTAAGTTTCTCTTTAAAGTGATAATTTGAAGATACTTGAAAAGCTATCTGGGTGCAGAATGCTCCTGGACATTTAAAATTTCTTCCCCAGACTTTGGCAAAGTGGTATCTCATTGATAGTGTGTTTTAAGATTTACCTTTATCTGGTCTTTGCAAATAATTCAACTTAATGTTCATACATGAGCCAAGTTTCTTTTATTTTTTGCTTCATGTAATATTTATTTAAATTGACTAATTAGAAAATAGTGTAGTAGAAATAAATGGTTTGGGAACACATAATTCATCAAATTTGAGCAGAAATGTAGGGCATAAAATAGGTATCAGTCAGCACAATGCACAGGGGAAGCAGAGAGCACTTATTAAAGTGAAGATTTGTTTGGGTAGAGATTGCTTAACAAAATTTCTAATGAAATTGTAGTAATAGCCAAGCTCAGGGTGGTACTTACTAAGTGTCAGGCTCTGTTCTAAGTGCTTTACATGTCATAATTCATTTAAGCCTCACAACAACACTGTGCAATAGGTACTTTTATTGTGTCTGCTGTACGGATGGGAAAAACTGACAGCCAGAGAGGTGAAGTGACTTGTTAAGGTCGCACTCCCGGGTAGTTTTGACCAAGAGTCTGTGCTCCTGACAAGGCCTCTCTCCTGGTCCTGCGCTCTGCCCTTCCTCTCTTTCACAGCATTCTTCCAGCCTGCTTGGTTCCCCTTTTCATTATTATTGACTTTAGAAGCCTCAACCTTCAGTGCAAATAGGGTGAGGTATAATTGTACAAATGCTTGTCTTATTATAATGAGAAGTATTTCTCTTCATATAATGAGAAACATAAATTCAGATAACCGAGAAATGTGGATCTCGGCCATTTTGAATGTGAAAAGTAAATTTCAAGTTAATTTACTTTGTAATTCAATTATAAAGTAAAAACTACTTCAAAATGACCTAAGTAGTAACAGAAGTTACTTCCAGCTACGTATCGTTTAGGATTATTCTGAGGTCTGGCTGCTTTACTTATTTTATATTTCTTACACCAAAAGAATGAATTATCTCCCCCTAATTAATTTTCATGAGTTATTTCTTAAACTCATTTAAATATTTATTTTATGTCATAACTCTCCTCTGAATTATTTAATCGAGAAAGTGCTTTAATCCTTACCATCCTTTAAGAAGTTTCCTCCCAGCTCTCATTTGACAATACTATTTATGTATTCTCCTCCATCTGGACTAAGGCACGCAAGCAACGCACTCCCGGTCAGCTGCCGACCTTGTGCTTGCGCAAACCTGAAAGCGAGTGTGTCCCTACACTGAGCCCCCTTGGCAGCTCACTTGCCTTATCCTAGTCCCAGCCCTGTATCAGAATATATTATATCATCATTTAAACTTTTCAGTGTATTTTCTAGTATGAAGTATGTAGTTTAATCCACTTAGAGGTAGAATCTAAAATTTAGAGAAATTTAGGAAATGTCCTAGGGTAGTGACTGAGAAATGGCACTGCTAGAACTCAAGCCTGTCGATTATAAGTTGGTAAATTTCTGGATAGTTGAAATTTTAGAAATCACCTGTTAGATGGTATTATCCAGAAAAACAGTTTGCATTCTCCAGCTCAGATATCGGGGGTTGCAGCATGGACTGCCAAAGACAGTGGGTAGGTGATTTTCAGTGGCTCTCAGACGACCATGACCAAATCATATGATGCTTGTCCTGTATGCTTTTCCAGTCTACTTTGTGCACTCTCTTTCTCCTCAGACCCAAGGCACCAGTGTCCTCTCCTCCTCTGCTTGCTCAAAGCCTCTCCCTCTCCATTCTCTGAGATATGCTCTTCACTGAACACTCGTGCTCTAAAGCATCCCTATATGACTTACTCATATGAAAGTTCCACCCCTTAAACTGCTGGTGAAAAGAAAGAAGTCTGAATAATTGACTTTACTACACGTGGGCTTGCTTATAAGATAAACTTGTTAAAACCTCAACTGATGTCTAATTGACTGGGTTGTGTAGAAGCTGTTTTATGCGTTACATTACAAGCTTCTAGAACAGGCAGTGCTCCTCACAAGTAAAACTGCAGATCGAAGGTGAGCAACTAACATACAACTTAGGAATGTTTGCCAACCACACTTTAGAAAATTACCCTGGATATGTACTCATTTTGCACACAAAGATACAAATGAAACCATAGCTTCCAGCATTTTGCTTATTCCAGACTGTGGTGATAGACTGGCAAATATAGACTTTAAGATAATCTGTGAAAGAGATTCTACATGTGTGTATTGCAGTCTGAGGTAACACTAGTCAAGTTTCTTATAGAAGGAGGGAAACCTCCATTATGTGGATTCACAATCCGGGTAGACACTACAGAAATCGTAAAACGAGACTGGCTTGAATGAATTTCTTTTCAGGTAACCATTACTGACACTCACTTTGAGCAAACTACAGCCACTCAGGCAAAGCACTGTGATCACTGGGTATCCATGGAATGCGATGGATGAGTGTCAAATTCTTTTTAGCATAGAACATTCCTCACAAGTTCAATAAAAACAATTTCTTCCAAATTATTTAATGATTCATGCATTCATATGTAGCTTTCTGTTTATAACAAACACCATTCCCAGAAGCTGAGAGTAGAGGGGAGAAATTTTAAATGATATGGATGGCTCCTGAATTCTAAATATATTTTACAAGTGTGCACAATTTTATCTTATATAAAAAATTCGGATATACTCTAAATTCCAAAACAGTAGGAGAATGAGAATTCTACTCATATATATGATGCATATCCTTTGGGAATTTTATGCCCATATGATTTACTTATAATTATGAATATTTAACTCTCTTTTGTTACTCAATTATATATATAAGTAATTCTCTTATGTACAAGGTCTCTCTTATATTGAATTATATTCCTCAATTTAGTTTATATGTAGTTACTTCTTAAATTATATTAAATTGTATTATTTATAAGGGAAAATTCAAACATAGCACTATGTAAATGGCAGAAAAGGCCAGAGAGAATTATGGTGGTGGCTTATCTTGGGGTATCAACTTCGCTACTTTCAACCCTTTAAAACTAGACCCCTTCCAAAACAAGTAACAAGCAAGATGTCAGATGTAAATTTCATTGTAACTATAGGATTGATGTACTTGAACAAGCTTGCAATGTTCATAAAGATTTCCCAGCGACATGGTGGAATTTGATGGGAAGTGGTTCCCAATGGCCGTTACCGTCAATGATATGCCTGATCTTTACCAAATGGACTTTGGTTTAGAAGCTGTGCATATTCAGTGTATAGAATAAATATCATGGATTGTTTCATTTAGAAAGCAAATGGGACTTCATAATAGAATTGTACCTGCTAGAGGGAAAATTTCCTTTTTCTTCATGCTCTACTCTATAATTGAATAGGATACTGTTGAAGAATTAGGAAAACTAGGTTTTGTAATTTCTGATAGTATTTAGTGAGCTGGAAAAAATACCTTTTATTAAATAAAAAATAGCATTTCACTTCTTTTTTGTCTATAAGAGTACAGAAAAACAACATATTTGCTGAACTGTAAAAGGAAGAAGTTTGGGAAAAGCTGATATTGGTTTCCAGACATGTTACGATAGTGCTTTCAGCTTTGTATTGACAACCAATTTTCTCTTTTTAAGGATGTTGAAGAATCAAAATTTTGTGAATGAAATATTGGTAATAACAGAACAAAGTACACGTGCCTTTGTTTTCTGAGGAAAAAAAATACATTCTTCTACAGATCAAATTTAATCATTTCTCCATGATTACAAAACATGGATCCAATAGCCACATACCTTGAAAATGCAAATTTTGATTAAGCCTTTTTCCTGATTAAGAACCACAGAAGTATCATTTGAAATCTATCCCACATGAGCTTCACAGCATGCTTCTTTCTATTTAATCTTTTCTAAGTAGAAGAAAAAGGGAGCTTTGAGCAGACCAGCAGTGCTGTCTCTGTGCATGCTGTAGGGCAGGAGCACTGTCGTGTCGCAGTGGTGCTGTTCACTCACAGTGGCGCTGCCTTTCTTCTTTACCACTGCTGCCCTCCGTGGATCCCACCGCTTCCCTCCCTCTGGGCCTTCGCACTAGCCTTCAGGCAACGTTTGGGTGACCCACGAAGAAATGGAAAATCTTGCAGCTCCAGCAAAAACGGTTAGTCTTTATAGCTTTGTTGAACATGAAGAAAAGTTACTTCCCTGCTATTTGCATGAAAAAGCTATTTTGTTTATGATAGAGCTGAGTAATGGTGTATGTTTACATACTTACCTCTTTTATTAACATATTATTGACATAATTTATTATAATTTTATTTTACTGCACTTTGACATTTTTAAACAAAGCAGTGCTAGATTGTCATAATGTGGTTAATATCATAAGAGTTTGTAGGGGCTCCCCATGTTCAAGAGGTTAAGTTCACGTGCTCTGCATCAGTGGCCCAGGGTTTCACAGGTTCGGATCCTGGGCGAAGACATTGCACCGCTCATCAGGCCATGCTGAGGCGGTGTCCCACACAGCACAGCCAGAGGCACTCACAACTAGAATATACAACTACGTACTGGGGGACTTTAGGGAAAAGAACAAAAAAAAAGAGAAAGATTGGCAATAGATGTTAGCTCAGTTGCCAATCTTTAAAAAAAAAGAGTTTGTAATATGCAGACAATAATCAAGAATTTAATAAAGCTTATTAAATTATTATTATTTATCCATTTTGCAACATTGGAAAATTTTGGTAACAAATATCACTTAGTATTGGGGATAGTCACAGGTAATACATGTTACCAAACCAATTAAACTTGTTAATAGAAAGTTTAGGTTGAATACTTATTTTTAATATAATCATTTAACTTCTTGTGCTTTACCATCTCAGGTACAGAACTTGACCAAAACAAAAAAGGTGTACTATTTATTTGATATTTAAAAGCATGTGTTAAAAGAACTTCTGGTGACTCTGATTATAATTGTCAGCTCTTAAAAATATAATATTATATATAGTCATCTTTTCATGTAAAGTAAAAGTGTCGGGCATTTTTTTCCCAGCAATTTCTTTTTAATTTAATGTCCTTTCAGTTTTATTCCTATTTGAAACATTGATTATTTAGAAGTTGATGGATAAAAATGCCAATATGGTAAACTAATTAAATTTCTAGTTTAGTTTGTTGTGTTTGGCTTCTATCTTGTTTAGTTTTGTTATCGGCTGTTGTTGAAATCTTTGTAAGAGGAATATAAGAACTTTTTTCATTAATTTAATTTATTTAAGATTTCTTCATTGTGTGTGTGTATATATATATACATACATGTACACACACATTTGTGTGTTGTATATACATGATCAGAAATTTTTATTATAATTCATCACATTTGGAAAATTACACACCTTTAAGAATTAAAAAAGGTTTGGAATGACCAGATCAAATCTATGATGAAAATCCCATATATCTTATGTGTGTGAATTTAATTAGAATTAATTAGAAACTGTGTAGTTGCCTTTGAACTGCTAAGTTGATCACTGTGGATCTAAGAATCTGTGTATTTATCTGCCTGTCATAATTAACATTTTCAATAGCAATTTTTCTCCTGCTAGAAAAAAATTTGCTGTATTCATTACGATTAATTTGTGTTTATCTGCTTATTAATCATTCCTTGCTGCTAACACAGAAAGAATCTGAGGAAGGAAGCTGGGCGCAGGTAGGAAATTCATATGCTTTAAGATAATTAATGTCGTTTAGCAGACGATGAGGATATACAGTAAGAAGCTATTGTATGTCATAGTATTATAAATCTTCGCAATTTAAGGCAAGGCTAATATGTACATTTAAATTTATTATATTTAATACTGTATATGTCTGTTTAAATCACTGTATTTTTCAAAGAAGATGATTATCATTTTATACCTGGCCTCTTTTGAAAGGGTGATTTCCTTTCTTCTTCAAAAAAATGAATCATACTTAAATTTCTCTTAAATCACCCCTGAATATACTTAGTCAGGAATCATTCAAGCTGTATATAAGGGGAGGGGAGGATTAAAAAAAAACCTCATTTGGAATCACGTTATCTTGAAAGTATAATGGAAAGTGTGTGAAGATTGGGGCTGGAGGGACGTGTGTCAGCATTGGGAGTGTAAGTCTGAAGTCGCTCCTGTTTATTGAGCTGGAATATGAGACAAGCCTCTGTGCTTTGAGCAAAGGTATATGTTTGCAAGGAAGCTGTGCATTGTTTCAGCATTTCTGCATGTTGTATGACTGAAAGAATAAATGCATTAAATTCACTGTGATTCAAACTTTTGACTATATGGAAAATTTGGTAGTTATTACCAGGACTTATACTTAAACATTCAGTAAATTAGGTTTGCATTAGGTTTTGATTTTGGTAAGAATTTATCGTTTTTAAGAACACATAAAAGAAGGGGAGCACCTAGATTTTCATTACAATTGTGAATTTGTCATCTGATAAAGAACTAAGTAGAAAACACTGTAAAATTAATAAAGAGTAATAGTCTTTTTGAAAAATTGGTTTAGAGGTGATGGTTGATTTAGATTTTGATTTTGGCTGTTTAAACAGTGTTTGGTAAGTGCAGTTCATATTGTTAAAATAAAGAATTAGATTGAAGAATTCTTAGTGTTTTGGTCATGCCCTGCTTCCTTAGTCCAGAGCCTCTGTTGATTGATTTCTGAAAATGACTGATTCTTTCCACTGATCCTTAATGGAATACTGTCTGCATGCTATACTAGGTCACAGCAATATCCACGTAGAGCTTCAGCATTCTGTCTCTCTAGCCTCTTGCTCCTTCTCTATTTGTTTACTGAGGTTTCTATTTTCACATCAAGATTTGCCATTACATTTCACATCAAGATTTGGCATTGAAAAGGAGGAAATGGTGAAGTATTAGCCGACAGATAAAAATAAATTAAGTTAAACTACCCATACAAAGAAAGAATCTTTAGGCTCAGCATTTTTACTATACGATGAATGCTGATTTCTTTTTAAAATACATATTTGGATAAAATGTAATTTTCTTTTGAGAATACAAAGTGAATGCAATTGTTTTCTGTAGGCAAGTACCTCGATACATATACCCAGAGCTCCATTGCATACCAAAGTAAATCAAATACTTAGAGGCTAAATATTATTTCTGCTTTGTTTCCATATATCATAGTAATTAGATGTCAGTTAAAATAATAGGTAATATTCTCCAATTACCACCTGATTTTATTGGCTAAGAAACTTGACTGCTATAAAACAATTCTAGTGTCCGGTTTTCCTCCAGACGCTGGCGTATGGAGATATGAACCACGAGTGGATTGGAAACGAATGGCTTCCCAGCCTGGGCTTACCTCAGTACAGAAGTTATTTTATGGAATGCTTGGTAGATGCAAGAATGTTAGATCACCTAACAAAAAAAGATCTCCGCGTCCATTTAAAAATGGTGGATAGCTTCCATCGGTAGGTTTCTTCCAAAGGGTAATTAAAGTGAAACAATAAATTATGCGTGTATTACCAGAACAAAAGGAGATGTTTAGGAAATAGAGAATATGTGCTATTGGAAACATTTGTGTTCATCTACTTGGCAAAAAGTTTTCATGCAGCAAATTGGAAGGACAATCTAAAGCAAGGCTGTGTGCATTGTGTGCCCAAAGTTTATGGAACTGTACATGAACAAAATTCTCATACAGTGTAAATCATTTTCCCCATATCTTTAGGAATTTCCCTGTTTGCAATTTGTATCGTGTATGTTTCTATATTAGAAAATTATTTATTAAGAATAAAATTCTGTTTCAAATCTATAAATATATGTGGTTATAAATTATATAATTTAGGGATATACTAGAAAAAAATTCTGAGAAAGAGCTCTCTGAAGAACATTTTCATTTTTTTTTGATTTTTTGTAAATCTTCCAGGGCTTTTGCTTATTTGTACATTAATTTTCAGAAAAAAATACTAAATGGGTTGTAAGATAGCTGTAAGGACACGAATGAATAAAATGAACTTCTTTGTTCAAGTTGTTTACCATCTAGTGGGTAAAACAAGGCTTGTTATAATACCGTGTCATAAATGTTATCTTGTAGCCTGATATCTTTGTAGGTTATGTGAACAATTGTCAGTTGGATTATGATTGTTTCATAAATACTTGATTGTGATGATAAATTATAAATATAAATCTAGACGATTTTGGCTTAGAAAACTCTATTTGGTCATATCCTGCCCAATATTTAATTAGCGACTGAAATGAAAATGGTACAAAAATCAGGTATGTTGATCACATAAAGTTAGGATAAAGGGTTAATAGTTGGGGCTCTTAAATGAAACTCAGAGATATTTTGAGTCTTAATACAGTTGTTGACACTGTTGGATTAAATTTAGTGGAGATAAATATGACAAAGTTTTTAAAAAACTATTAAAATGCTGGATGGGGAATCCATGATTTAAAAGCAATTCAAACGAAAAAGATGTGATTTATAGTGGCCACAAAAATCTCAGGTTTGGTTAATGGCTTGACAGAGCGTATTTAGATTTTATTTATTGGCAGGCACAATAGAAGTCCTACCATATGATGAGGTGACAATAAGAAACTGTATTAACTTATGGACATTACAATGTTATTAATAAAGCAGTAAAAGTCTAGTGGAAAGGTTGAAGAAATTAAAGACATTTAGCTTGAATAAGGGGAGACTTGAGATAAATTTGCTTATGTTTTAATATTATTATGTGATGAGAGAATAAGATTTCCTCTGTTGAACATGTTCTTTTCTAGTTGAAATAGGTGTAGATACTAGGGTGAGTGGTTTAAGTTCAATAGAGAAAGTGGCTTTGTATCACTCTCAATTGCCCTATAGAATACACATTGTGAGGTAGTAAGTTCCCTGTCACTGAACATTTAGGACTTCAAATTTTGTGTGGTTGCATTAAACTTTTGAGTACAAGCATTTTTGGTGACACACTTGTGCTTGTCCTATTCTTCCCTAGATCGAATTTTAATTGCTGTATTATTATAATGCAAATACTATTATAATGATCAAGTTTTTTAAAAAATAAAAATCATTCAATTGATAGAGTTCTTATTTGTTCTGGGACATGCACGAGCTTCATCTTTATGTTATGCTTAGCTCTGACTGCATACTGCATCCCATTGTCTTTACATCCTAGTTTTCCATCCGACAGTGTTGCAATAATATATATCCTCTTTATAGCACAATTTTAAATTACATGTAAAAACTTGACAGACATTAACAAAGAGCCATTGGTTTACCTCAAGCTGCCTAGTTCCTATGATGGTTATTATATCAGTATTATCTACATCCCACTAAATTAATTTGCTGGAGCTACCATAAAAAATACTACAACTAAGTGGCTTAAACAATAGATATTTATTTTCTCACTGTTCTGGAATGTGGAAATCCAAGATCAAGGAGTCAACAGGATTGATTTCTTCTCCTTGGCTTGAGGATGGCCACCTTCTTACTGTGTCATCACATGGTCTTTCCTGTGTGTATGCATTTCCCTGGTTTCTCTGAATCCAAATTTCCTTTTCTTGTAAGCACACCAGTCAAACTGGATTAAGGCCTAGACTAATGGCTTATTTTAACTTAATTATCTCTTTTAACATCCTATCCCCAAATATAGTCACATTCTGAAGTACTAAGGGTTAGGACTTCAACATACTAATTTTGGGAAACACAGTTCAGCCTATAACGTCCGCTTAATGCAGATTTTTTTACATTTTCCTCTGATTCTGAAATATTTGAACTCAACAGTTTCCTTATTAAAATGCAGGGCTTAGAAATGCATCCAACGCTGAGGTGTAAACTGGCCAGTGTTCATGTCTAAATTTGTGTATGTTTCTAAATACTTAAGAAATCACTGAGAACCAAAGCTCTTTGCTCTTGAGCCTAGAGATTCTTTTTTCCTATTATGCTCTTCCACATCCTTTATATCTAATATCACCAAGTCTTCTTTCTTCTCTCTGGTTTCTGGATATTTTTTCATGTTCACGGCAATTGTCCTTATTGTGACCCTTATTTTGGCAGCATTGACCCCCTTAAATGATTTCCTTATCCCCTAGGATTACCTATTTTCCCCCATCTCCTATTTTGCTGCCAGATTATTCTTCCTTAAATCAAAAATTTTTGTTGTCATTTCTTTCTCCTGTGAAAATTGTCCAATAATTCTCTGTCATCTGGATGTACACAATACAAACTTTCCTTAATGTAGCGCCATTCGCCATATGTAATCATATTCCTCCTTGTTTCTCAGCATGGATTTTCAACTCTGCACAGTGTGTCTCACTATCACCACACACTTAAAATTTCATGGGCAATCCTATGTTCATGGTCCTCCATTTTCTTTAATGACCTTTTCTCAGCCACACAATCTTTTAAGGATCAGTCAGTTTTCTTCTCGTCCACAATATTCCTTCCACACAGAAATTCAGTGCCTGCTGACTTGTTCCTTTCACATACTTCTGTATCACTTAGAGTTGGTGTTGATTCATTTTGGTATGTGGTTCTCTTTCTTATTACTTAACTTATTCACGTCTTTATATTATTTTTCTCATCAGTTTAAGAAGAGAGTATCCATTTCTTATAAACTCCTTTCTGTCTTCATAATAGTGACTCTTTAAATTCTTTTCAAATGAGTAAAATGTTCATTTGTCTGCAAGTAATGTTAAAATACCTATTGGAAGACAAAGACATTTGAATAAACAATGTGATCCGTGATTGTTTTCAAGACTATGGTTTTCCCATTTTGAACATAATTTTTTTTAATCTTTAGGAACATTGTGTGCTTAGAATAATTTTATTTCCCTCCAATACCAAAGCATGTGATTACAAATGTAATTTATTAACCTGTTGTCCTAGTAAGCAGTGCATAGTGTTGAATATGCTTAATCAAAGAATATTCTTCATCTGCTGAGTAAATTCAATGTTTTCTTTTTTTAAAAAAATAACAGAACAAGTTTACAGTATGGAATTATGTGCTTAAAACGGTTGAATTATGACAGAAAAGAACTAGAAAGAAGACGAGAAGCAAGCCAACATGAAATAAAAGGTAATATGGCTTTCTTTTATATCAAATGCCTTTTCTCTGAGGTTTTCAGCTTTCACTTTTATGAACCTAAAATGCTGTATGTGTCACAATGGTCACTAAGTAACATAAATATTCAACTAGATAGTGCCATCATTATTTCTTTTTCATTTTAATTAAATAAATAGTTGCCAGTTTTAGAGCTAGTTTCACTTAGGGTAACTTTGGTTGAAAGCAATATCCATGTTAATAACAGAGAGCTGTACATGTGTACAAACACAGAAAAGGATATCATCACATAATAAGGTAAATATCTCATTTGGGGCATATTCTTGATTCTTTAAAATTGAGATTTATACCTCTGGACCTATTAATTATACATTCGGTTTGCCCTAAAGATACCTCCATGTAGATATTTTTGTCAAACTTTTAATAGAACATACTCATTATGACAGAGAAACATGGTATATAATTTATTCTTAGTAGTTTATCTTTGGTTTATACCATTTGAATTTTATTTCAGTCCCCCCAAATTTTATTTTTGTAATATAGTTATAGAAATTAAGGATTTATATAGAAATTATATAGAGATTTTCCTCCTATAACTGAGACTAGCCCATTAATAATTTAGCTATGAATGATTTTAGAAGCATTACTAGTTGCTTCAACCATTTTATGTACAAAAATGTTGATTTGAATAAGAAAAGACACTCCCTACTACAGGTCTATTAAAAAAGCACTCTATTTAACAATTAACCCTCTAAATGTTGAGAAGTACCTTAACATACAAGGGAAAGAATGGTTTAAAAAGAACAATATGTTAGATCCTATACTTGTTAGAGACCACTTAATTTTTATTATTGTTGTTGAAGAAAAATTTAATTGTTGGGTATAAGATATAACTATTTACAGGTTTTCTTTTGGTAAAACTCATCAGTCCATTTATGTATATTTATATTTTTTAAAGGAAAAAAGACTCATTAAGGGAAATATAACCAAACATTTTTGAGGAAAATTTTGGATACAAGCAAAATAAACTACTTATCAGTTATATATACAGTTGCTGTTATCCAAGAGTTGATTTGTGGAAGGTTTTCTTCAGATTCAATGGGTGTTTGTACATTAATTGTTCAAAGTTAGGCATAAATTTCTTTGTCTTCATCTTCACTTCCTTTGGGGCTTACTTTAGATATGAAAATATCACATATTACATATTACCCTCTCCCCATCACATTAAAGTTTAGCACAGTTTTATTCTTTATTTGAGATAATCTTAGACTTCTATAATTTTTGTTTGTGATAAATGATGTCAGAAATTACTTTTATCTTCGGCTGTTCTTGGATAGGACGTTAGTTCTGGTAGAATGGGCTTGAATGCTTGTGAAGGTGATTGGTTAAAAATATTTTTCTATATATGGTTCATTGGAGAGTAGATGGACGCACAATGGATTTCTTGTAACACTTCATTTGACTTATTACATAGGAGCAAGAAAGTGTTTTTCCGTTATCAAAATTGAGTTGTTTGATTTCCCTTTATTCTAGGTCCCCAGGAAATTGCAAGTTTTTAAAAAGCATTGTTGTTCAGTTGAATTGAAGGTTAGGAACTAATTGGCCTAAGATAGAACCCAGACGGAAGTTTGTGCTTGACCTAACAAAAGATGTTTTAGTCCACAAATAGATTTCACCTGTGGGATACCACTTTCTAGTTTTCTTTCTGAAGTGTTTTTTCCAGTTAGCTTTTATGATGCTAGGTCTCACCGCATGGAACGCTTCATCTAGAGATAGATGTAAAGGAGAGGAAGTACCCATTTGGCCTGGCACCAAATATTATATTAGTATTTGGCAGCTGCTGGTTAGAGTGCAGCCCTGAGAAAAAACTGCCATGATTCACTGTGATTATACACAGACAACTGCTTGTGATAAGTAGCCGTGAGTGAGGTCATAAATAGCCCCTGTTTCCTATAACTTATCTGATGACATTTACAGGAATAACTCTTGACTATAACTAGGGGTCTTTGTTATTATCTGAATGTTAATTAACCTTGACCTTAATAAACAGTTTTCTGAAGTGAGAAAACCATGTGAATATCAAGAATGTACTAACATTTAATTTGTTGCTAGGAAACAGTCAACACTGATCTCTAGCCATTTATTGTTTAGGTCAAGAGGATTCCTACAAAGCTTTAAAGTCAGGGCATAAATTTTGCTTGGAAACAGAATTATAGAAAGGGATATGATTTACAAAATGAAAACAAAGGTATGTTGCTGTTCTGAAGAAGAAAAGTTTGCATTAGTGCTTTCTTTACTTTTCCTATGAATAAGTGGATTATTTTTTATATTTGATAACTCTTAACTGTGGCAATGAAATTTTTGATGGACATATATTTTCAGAAATATGGTGTCTACATATATCTTAGACTATCAAAATATAAACCCAGCGTTAGGAAGGAATAAACACTTCCTAGTCACAAATCTAATGCAAAGAAAACTGGATAGTTTTGTTGTTTTTTGAGGAAACTATTATCCTATTAGTTTTTTAAACTGTTGCATTTAGTGAAAACAATTGGAGAACTGTTACTGTCAGCCACACATCCCTAACTTTTGAAGTGTGAGTGAGGTGTAGCCAGTAGTTGGAACTAATCAGTTGCTGTTAACAGTAGCTGATTAATATCACCAAGATATAATACTAAGCAACTTACATTCTATTTTCTGAGGTCTAACACCTCAATGGAACAAGCTGAGGAAAACATAAACTTTAGGACAAACCCTGGGACACCCAGTGAATATAAATAATGTAAAATTTCCATATATCCTAAAGGTCATTAAGGAAATCCTTTGCTTTGCTGAAGACATGGGGAAAGAAAGAGCCAACACACTGAGGGAGACAATAAACATCCTACTTCCTGAAGAAATTCATTCTGCTGTGGCTGCAGCAGGAAATAGTAATAAGACTGGGAAGTGGGCATTTTGAGTCTTTCCTCACATGTTCCCCATTAACTAAATCCAAAGAGAAACTTAGGGCCTTTCTTTTGAAATAAGATTATTCAAACCACAACAGGAATTAAGTAGAGAGATGTGAGGCAGATATAGCTTCCAGATTCATATACAAATGCTTTATCATCACTGTGGATTGGCAGAGACAAAGAGAGCACAAACTTATGTGAAGAACTTCTGCTTCGGACTACAATGGAGTACACTGAATCAGACCAATCTTCAACGGAGAACAAGTAGAAAGGCTAGATAAAGCAATAAACAGCTGTTGGAAGGCGGCGGAAAGCAACTAAGACGCCTAGGACTTGAGAGCCTGTGATCCTAGAAAAAAGAGAAATGTGTTGAGGCAAGCCTGTCATTCTCTGCTGCTTGCCCTGTCTCACAGAGTAGGGGAAGGAAATTGTAATTTAGAGGTCCCAAAGTTGCCAGGCCTTGAGGGACCAAGATCGTGGAGAAAAAAGGAAATAAATAAGCCTGACATTTTACACAACTTTCCTCTTGAGAGATTTTTCCATTATAAAGTCTGGGATTCAATAAAAAAAAAAATACATGAGATGTCAAATAATGGGGCAAAATGAGGAAAAAGCAGAAAAAAGAAACATGTCCACAGGTGACCTGAATCTTTTTCTTTTTATCAGACATGGACTTTAAAACAATTGTGATTAATGCGTTAAGAAAATAAATGACAAAATAGAAAATTTTAATACATAGCTAGAATCAATATGTTAAGAAATGATCAAACGGAAATTTGAAGGAGCAGAAAGTTTAAAACTGAAATTAGGAATTTGACAAGTGGTTTAACAAAAAAATATAAGTTTAGTGAAGTGAAAGATAAATCACTTGAAAATATCTGGCTTGAAACATGAAAAAGAACAAAAGGATGAATGATACAAAACAGATCATTACACATATTGGACACAGTGAAGAGTCTAGTATAGGTCTGTTGGAATCTTAGAACAAGAATGAATGAGAAAGAAGTGATATTTGAAAAGATAATGGGGGAGATTGAAGAAAAAAACAATTAGAAACAAGCTGCAGACTCAAGACTGCATGAATGCCAAGCAAGATTAAAAGAAAAGGGAGGAAACACACATCTAGAAACATTGTGGTGAGGCTGCTGAAAACCGTGACCAAAAGAAGGCAAAACAAAATAAAACAAACAAACAAAAGCTTTAGAATCTGCCAGAGGAAACTTCACATTACTTTCAAAGGAGCAAAATAAGATATCTGACTCCACAACAAATAATGCCAGAGGAAAACGAAATGACATCCTTAAAATGCTGATGGAAACTAACTTCTTACCAAAAGTCTATGATTGTGGGTCCATAAGATTAAAGGCAGAATTCATACATTTTCCGACAAACAAAATCTGAGGGAATACAGCACTAGGAAATCCAAAGGGAAAAGAAATATTAGAATGAGCTATTCAGGCAGGAATGATCATACAGAGAAATTTTAAAATGCAGACAGTGTAAGGACAACTGAAAGAATGTATGGGAAACTTAGCAGTGATGATAAAAACAATAATAACAATGTCCATTGGCTTTAAATTTTGCATAGAATTAAAATATGTAACAACTATAATGTAAAAGGAAGGAAGGGAGTTAATGGAATTAAACTGTTTGAAGCTCTTTGCATTATCCAGGAATGATAACAGCACTAATTTACAGTAGATTATAAATCAAAGATGTATATTATAAGCTCTAAGTGTGACTACTAAAAAAATGATATCAAATGGATAAATAAAAAGCTAATAGAGGGGCAGAATAAAATTATTTTTAAAAGATAATTAATTTTTAAAAAGGTAACAAAGGAGAGAAAAGGAACAAAAGACGTGAGACAAATAGAAACCAAATAGAAAGATGGTAGATTTAAACTCAAATATCTGAGTAATAATACTAAACGGGAGTGGATTAATCCCATTAAAGGACAGATGAGAAAATAAAACAGTTATATACTGTTTACAACCTTAGATACGAGGACATAGAAAAGTTGGAAGTAAAGGAGAGAAACACGTAAATACTAAGGGAAGC